CGGTTAGCCACCCCTGATCTACGTTTCCCAAATCCTATGGGTTTGAATATGTTCATGTGACAGTTGATTTCTACAAATTATCCCACACATAAGAAAAATCTAATTAATATACATTTTCAGATGGTTAAGGCTGATTTGCGAAAACTTGTCATCATCTTACTCTACATAGATCTTTGGCATTTATGCCTACCATTTGTGCCTAGCAGCAAAACAGGATATCTGAGGCAAGGGGCATTTCAATATAGCTTTGCCACATTTTTTGCAGTATTACTTTTGTGCCTTGTTGGAAACATCAACGCAATATTAGCCACTTTCAATGCAACATACCAAAACAAAACGAACTATGCAAGACTTAGCATGCAAAACTAACTATGCAAGAGATTTTGTTGTAGGCAGAACGCATCGGAGTAGGATTCTATTGCACTGACACACAGGACTCATCATGTACTTTACACAGACCGGCGCGGCATAACCAATCAGAGATGCAGTAGGCCTATATGCAAATAGACCATTGCCATATATGGATCTGTGCCATTCACTTTGAAGTGGACTGTGTTTACAGCATGAGCGGTCGTGAGTAGATGTGCTTGTTTTCAGATCAAAGCGAAAACTGCACGTAGCCACATGTGCACATTTGTTTATATCCTTTGCTAGTTAGTGAGTTATTAGCCCAGTTATAGATCATTTGTAGTCAGCAATGGGTGAGTGATTGCTTCCTACAAGAGCACAAAACATGTACATCTTTGAAAAGCGAGTTGGGTATGGCTCTTTTTTTCTTAAAGGGGCAGTGTTGTATTTTGAGACAGGCTTTAATAAGCTAAGTAGCCAATAGGCAGAAGGTGGCATAATAGGTCTGATTCTCTGTAATAATGGTATGGCAATAATAATGCATTTTATTTTGTAAAGTGGTTTCTTACATCAAACAACACAACAACATTTTCAGCCACCTCCTTGTCTGAAGGACAACTGAATAAACAGGTTAATGTCAAGCCCTGCATGTTTTTTTTTCTCCAAAAGTATCATGGAATGTAGGCCTACATTTAACACCACACATTGTCTTCTACTGTAGGCTGAATGATAGAACAGCTTTTCCATGTTAAAATGTTATGGGATGCATTTTTGTTATGGTAGACCACTCTGATAGGCCTACATTATGATCAAATAGCCACAGTAGCCTACTTGACCACTGTCTGAAACTGTAACTTAAAGCGGGTACAGCCTCAGTGTTCACAGTAAACATGCGCTGGAAGTTGCACCGAATTTTCACAATGTTCAAGTTTGCGGTCAGCAGACCTGAAATTTGCCCAGTGCCTAAACAAATTAGAGGGAACATTGATTATGAGCTGTCTTGTTTGCTAAATGAACAAATGAAATAGGCAGTGGCATGGTGTATATAGCCATAGAATCACAGTGACATATGCCTCAATGCAGTTATATTTGTGCTTATTGGGGGTGTGGCATTCAATTAGTTCTTTTTCGCAACCAGTCCCGTCAGAGTGAATGTCATTACAGTTAATATGTTCTGTTATACTTCATCAAAACACAGTTCACTGCTTGCTATGCATTCTATCTGATGATGTTTGCATGTTTAGGTAAAAATACAAATAATGTCCCGTTTGGAACATTGACAAGGAAAGAGCATAACAAATATATATATATTTATTTGTTGCTCAATCTGATTGGGTGGGCCTGGCTCCCCAGTGGCTGGGCCTAGGCCCACCCATACCTACGGCCCTGAGTATCACATGCTGTCAAAAGGAAGCATTCTGCGACAGGAGTGACAGCAAATTAATTTGTTGACAATTATGTGTACAAAACAGCGCTTCAAGTTGCTGTGCTGCTCTTTTGACAATTGAGTTCATAAACTGTTCAGCAGAGAATGAACGTGCCTGTCCAGTCTGCAGTGGCTGCCTGCTCCACTCTAATCGTGAGGGGCGTTTCTTTACAAATGCGCATCCAATCGCCTTCATCCCGGACCCTTACTAAACCAATCACAAGCTTATATCTTCCGTGGTTCACAGTGCGGTGGTAGGAAAATTATGGATCTCCCGGGTGAAGCTGCCGTGGTTACAATGCTCGTGATGTAGAATATCAGGCGCATATGCTCCAATTTCAAAATGATTTGGAAGCACAGTTGAAAAGTTAACCCATTGATACACTGGATAAAAGCAGTACTTTATTAAATGTGTGCGAAATAGGAGGTGTGGCATGTGAGCGTGAGAAGAGGGTCAAATGCATGTGTCTCATGCCCAATGCGTGAGAGTTGGCAGCACTGTTAACGTAAGGTGTTTTATGCAACCGGGCCCAGAGCCATGGAGCAACCCTTGAGAAAGCCCTGTCACCAAAGCACTGAAGTTTGAACCTGGGGACAACAAGATGGCCAGCTGTGGTGGAACAGAGTGGTCATGTGGGTTGGTAGGGGAGAAGAAGGGGGGGAGACAATGCAGTGGGAGACATGGAGCCAGAGGAGTCCATGGAGGACAGGGGTAATGTGCTGCCAGGCCTTAGTGTGGGTGAGAAGTCGGGCTGCAGAGTTCTGAAGCATTTGCAGCTTATGGAGGGAGCTTAAGTTGATGCCTGAGAGTAAAGACTTGCAGTAGTTGAGACGGGAGGAGACCTGACTTTGGCAATGTTGCAGAGTTTAAAGAATAATTTGACAGTCTGCTGGATGTGGTGGTCGAAGGAGAGGGTGGAGTCCAGGATGGTGCCAAGGTTGCGTGCATGGGGGGAGGAAGAGACAGTGGTGTCGTCAATGGTGAGGGTGCCAACTTCGGTGAGGATGGATTTGGTGCCTATGAGGAGGAGTTCTGTTTTAGCACTGTTGAGCTTGAGGAAGTTTTGTTGCATCCAGGTTGTTATTGCAGAGGCAGGATTCAATGTGGGTCAGAGGTGGGTTGAGGAGGGATTTGGTGCTGAGGTAGATCTGGGTGTCATCAGCGTAGCAGTGAAAGTTAAGGTTGAAGCGACGGAGGATCTGACCAAGGGGGAGGATGTAGATGATGAAGAGTAAGGGACCCAGCACAGAGCCCTGGGGGATACCCTGTATAACCGCAGCTGAGTCTGAGGTGTGGCCATTGATTGAGATATAGGAGGTCCGGTTGGTGAGGTAGGATTGTAGCCAGGAGAGTGTAGTGCCCTCAACACCCAGACCCTCCAGCCTGCTGAGTAGGATCTAATGGCTCACAGTGTCAAAGGCGGCACTAAGGTCAAGAAGAATCAGGATGTTGAGTGCACCAGTACCAGCAGCTGTGAGGAGGTAATTGATGACTTTGAGGAGTGCATGATGATGGTGGGGTGAACATTTACTGTTGATATAATCTTTGTATCAACAGGGGATGTGCTTAGTATCATGAAACCCTGCTTTTATACATTACAAATGCAGACAGTCTGCTGGTAGGGTGTGTTACAGTAGTGTTACCTTGGCGCTGTCATGCCAGGGATGGTCTCGCTGGACACGTTCTGCCTCACTGGCCAGCCTCTGCAAGTTCAAGAGTTCAGGTTAGAGAACAGAGAAAACAAAGGTCCTGCCCTTTATTTTGAATAGGCCTAGTTGAATGGGAGGGATATTTAGAAAATGTATACATCCTGGGAGTTTCAAGACAAATTAACCACACAGGTACTGTGAGAAACATAAGCATATTATATTACAGCAGTTTGCATTCTGTAATATAATACTGTAATTATTTATGTTAATAGTTCACAAAAGTTTATCTGCATCATACTGGCCACCTTTTTGTCTTTCTTTAGGGGCCTTTATCCACTGACTTTCTCTCACTTGTAATGTCATTGATAAAAGATAATTGTGTTCATAAATGGTCTGAGTTATATTGAAAGTAAAACTATGAACCCTCTATTACCGTAATGGTCCCATTTACAAGAAATGTGTATAGAAATAGGAGAGCTAGACAGCCCTCATCAACTGACCTTCTCTCACTTGTAATGTCATTGATAAAATATAATTGTGTTCATAAATGGTCTGACTTCATAGAAATGCAATGGGTTTAGAAGACTATAGGAGCTGAGTGTTTGTCTTTCTGGGACACGTTCTGCCTCACTGGCCAGCCTCTGCAAGTTCAAGAGTTCAGGTTAGAGAACAGAGAAAACAAGGAGCTGAGTGTTTGTCTTTCTGGGTAAACCACAGGATGCTCTCATCTGTCACAGAAGAAAGTGAAAGAGTTATATTGAAAGTAAAACTATGAACCCTCTATTCCTGTAATGGTCCCATTTACAAGAAATGGGTATAGAAATAGGAGAGCTAGACAGCCCTCATCACCTGATACATTTGTGGAATTATCTAGATACAGTGGAAGTCGGAGGTTTACATACACCTTAGCCAAATACATTTAAACTCAGTTTTTCACAAGTCCCATGGTGTTTATACTTGTGTACTATTGTTTGTACAGATGAATGTGGTACTTTCAGAAGTTTGGAAATTGCTCCCAAGGATGAACCAGGTCTACAATTTTTTTTCTGAGGTCTTGGCTGATTTCTTTTTATTTTCCCATGATGTCAAGCAAAGAGGCACTGAGTTTGAAGGTAGGCCTTGAAATACATCCACAGGTACACCTCCAATTGACTCAAATTATGTCAATTAGCCTATCATTTTCTGGAATTTTCCAAGCTGTTTAAAGGCACAGTCAACTTAGTGTATGTAAACTTCTGACCCACTGGAATTGTGATACAGTGAATTATAAGTGAAATAATCTGTCTGTAAACAATTGTTGGAAAAATGAATTGTGTCATGCACAAAGTAGATGTCCTAACTGACTTGCCAAAACTATAGTTTGTTAACAAGAAATGTGTGGAGTGGTTGAAAAACAAGTTTTAATGACTTCAAACTAAGTGTATGTAAACTTCCGACTTCAAATGTAGTTATTCTACATTTAACACTTGAAAGTGAAAGTAACTGGTACAGCACATACTGTGGTTCACTGCACCAGTCAATTTCACTTTCTAGTGTGCAGGTATAAATAGCTGCTGGTGCAATCCTTTTTTCACAACTATATCAGAATCTAAGCCTCAAGAGGAACTAGTACCAGCAAGGTAAGTCTATTTACATTCATTTTAAAATGTATTTTATATTTTATAAACAATGCAAAACAATTTATTCTGCTTTTATAAACAATGCAAAACAATTTATTCTGCTGATAGGAAAAATTGGTAGAGGACCAGATCGATTACAGTACAATATATTTTTTCATTTGCGATGCAAAAGGATAAAATCAAATTGCTATACTGCAATGATTTTAGAAGCTGCCTATAATCTGTGCACAAGGGAAATGTGTAACATTGTCTTCTGTTGTTCCTATACATCTTCTACATTATGGGGCGGTTTCCAGGCCATAGATGAAAACGATTAAATAATTACACAATAACAAATGTTTACTGTAACACAAATTGAATTGTAACTTGTTAAAAATGCATTCCACCTGTCTTTGCTTTCACAAACACCTGAAAAGCTGATTTGGGGTGGATTTTTTTCCTAAATATACTGAACAAAAATATAGACACAACATGTATAGTGTTGGTCCCATGTTTCATGAGCTGAAATAAAAGATCCCAGAAATGTTCCATACGCACAAAAAGCTTATTTCTCTCAAATGTTGTGCATACATTTGTTTACATCCCTGTTAGTGAGCATTTCTCATTTTCCAAGATAATCCATCCACTTGACAGGTGTGGCATATAAAGAAGCTGATTAAACAGCATGATTATTACACAGGTGCACCTTGTGCAGGGGACAACAAAATGCCACTCTAAAATGTGCAGTTTTGTCACACAACACAATGCCACAAGTGGGTGGGCTTGGCTCCGGTAGGGAATCCTGGATTAAGAAGCATTTTCAATGGAGATTCACTATTGAACTTGCTTTTTAGTCCAGGACCGGGCTAAAACTGTGTCTATCAAACTGCCACTAAATGTTATGTTTTTTTGTGAAATAAATAAAAGTCAAATTGCTGACTTACATCAAGTGCTTTGCGTTTCTTGGCTAGTAGATTCTCGATGTCTGAAGCCACCTTCTCCACCATCTCATAGGGAGAATTCTTTACCAGGCTGAACTGCCTTCTTTTCTCATTGTAGATCTGCAAAAAGAGTACAAAAACAGACAACATCAATTGAAGTGCAGTTAAATGATAGTTCCACATATGTTGTACATGTACTGATTCTATTACTGCATTTCACATCATTTGCAACAGTTTTCGATCCTTGAGTTGACAGCAACAAGGAGGCACTCAGCACACACAGACCATATACAGTGCATTCAGAAAGTAATCAGACCCCTTGACTTTTTCCACATTTTGTTAGGTTACAGGCTTATTCTAAAATAGATTAACATTTTTTTCACATCAACCTACACACATCTTGGGAGGATCCAAGATGGCGTAGCAGTGTGGTCGTGTTCTTTGTTGTGTGTCCGTGTAAATAGCCTGTTTTTTGTATTTATTTTGTATTTTTCGTACTTATTTCCCCATCACACTTTTCATCCTTCTACAAAATATACTTTCCTGCAACCTGCCTCACTCAATGTGGAACGGATTCTATTATTGACTTACCTTTTATCTAGAATCTCCAGTTGAAACTAGCTAGCCAGCTAACTAGCTACTTGCTATTAGCCACCGTTAGCGGTTTTCACCCAGAACATCGTATTTTCTGCCGGAATAACTGAATCACTGGACATTAACACCGGATCGCAACTAGCTAGCCGCAACCGGATGGATGTTGCTGTTGGCTAATCACTGCTGCCCCCGAAGCAAGCACCAGTTAGCCACGAGCTAGCCTCGAGCCAGGCCCATATCCCGGCTATCTACCTCTCTGTCTACAGGACGGGAGTAGCCAGCTAACTAGCTACTTGCTATTAGCCACCGTTAGCGGTTTTTCACCATTGTCCGTGGCCTGCACTACCTACCAGCCAGCTCTAGCCTGGACTATTATCGGCCAGTCTGCACAGCGCGTTATCGACCCAGAACATATCGGTTTTTCTGCCGGAATCACTGAATCACTGGACCTTTAATACCGGATCATCGCAACTAGCTAGCTGCAACCAAATGGATGTAGTTGTTGGCTAATCAGCTCTGAGCTAGCCTCGAGCCAGGCCCATCTCCTGGCTATCTACCTCTCTGTCATCCGGACGGGACCTCCTAGTGTTGACACGGAGCCCCGCCGATCCAACACGACTGGTCTGCCGACGAAACCGTCTGATGTGGTTTCAACAGGCTTCCCGTTACGACGTTGACCACGAAGATCCATCTGCTAGCCCCGGCCTGCTAGCACACGTAAGCCGTGGCCTCTTACTCGCCAGTGCTGTAGAAGCCCCCGAACTACCTTCGAACTCTCCTATTGCTGTTCACCGGACCTTATAACTCAGCAATACAGCTGATGCCTGCTGGACTGTTCCTTTATACGGTACCGCATCCTGTTTATGTTTAGCCTCAGCCCAAACTTTGTCGCCATTACCAGCTGTTGTCTTAGCTCTCTCGAATAACACCTGTGATTGCTTTATGCCTCTCTCCCATGTCAATATGCCTTGCTTATTGCTGTTTCGGTTATTTCTTATTGTACTATTTCACTGTAGATCCCCCAGCCCAGCTCAACCTGCCTTAGATAGCTCCTTTGTCCCACCCCCCATACACGCGGAGACCGACTCAAATCGGTGCCTCCAGTGATGCTATCTCTTTCATCGTTACCAAACGCTTAGGTTTACCTCCACTGTACTCATATCCTTCCATATTCTTGTCTGTACATAATGCCCTGAATCTATTCTACAACGCCCGGAAATCTGCCCCTTTTTTTCTCTGTACCCAACGCACTAGAAGACCAGTACTTAAAGCCTTTAGCCGTATCCTTATTCTACTCCTCCTCTGTTCCTCTGGTGATGTAGAGCTTAACCCAGGCCCTGTAGCCCCCAGTATCACTCCTACTCCCCAGGCGTTATCATTTGTTGACTTCTGTAACCGTAAAAGCCTTGGTTTCTTGCACGTTAACATCCGAAAGCCTCCTCCCTAAGTTTGAGTTATTCACTGCATTAGCACACTCCGCCAACCCTGATGTTCTAGCAGTGTCTGAATCCTGGCTTAGGAAGGCCACCAAAAATACAGAAATGTCCATCCCCAACTACAACATTTTCCGTCTCGATAGAACTGCCAAAGGGGGTGGGGTTGCAATCTACTGTAGAGATAGACTGCAGAGCTCTATCGTACTATCCAGGTCTGTGACCAAACAGTTTGCGCTTCTACTTCTAAAAATCCACCTTTCCAGAAATAAGTCTCTCACTGTTGCCGCTTGCTATAGACCCCCCTCAGCCCCGAGCTGTGCCCTGGACACCATATGTGAACTGATTGCCCCCATCTATCCTCAGAGTTCGTACTGCTTGGTGACCTAAACTGGGATATGCTTAACACCCCGACCAACCTACAATCTAAACTAGATGCCCTCAATCTCGCACAAATTATCAACAAACCTACCAGGTACAACCCTAAATCTGTAAACATGGGCACCCTCATAGATATCATCCTGACAAATTTACCCTCTAAATTCACCTCCGCTGTCTTCAACCAGGATCTCAGCGATCACTGCCTTATTGCCTGCGTCCGTAATGGGTCTGCGGTCAAACAACCACCCCTCATCACTGTCAAACGCTCCCTAAAACACATTAGCGAGCAGGCTTTTCTAATTGACCTGGCCCGGGTATCCTGGTTGGATATTGACCTCGTTCCGTCAGTAGAGGATGCCTGGTTGTTCTTTAAAAGTGTTTTCCTCTCAATCTTATATAAGCATGCCCCATTCAAAAAATTCAGAACTAAGAACAGATATAGCCCCTGGTTCTCCTCAGACTTGACTGCCCTTGACCAGCACAAAAACATCCTGTGGCGTACTGCATTAGCATCGAACAGCCCCCGCGATATGCAACTTTTCAGGGAAGTCAGGAACCAATATACACAATCAGTTAGGAAAGCAAAGGCTAGCTTTTTCAAACAGAAATGTGCATCCTGTAGCACTGACTCCAAAATGTTTTGGGACACTGTAAAGTCCATGGAAAATAAGAGCACCTCCTCCCAACTGCCCACTGCACTGAGGCTAGGAAACACTGTCACCACCGATAAATCTACAATAATTGAGAATTTCAACAAGTATTTTGCTACGGCTGGCCATGCTTTCCACCTGGCTACCACTACCCCGGCCACCAGCTCTGCACCCTCCGCTGCAACTTGCCCATGCCCCCTTGTTCTCAACTGGCTTACCTGGTTAAATAAAGGTTAAATAAAAATAAATAAACACAATACCCCATAATGACAAAGCAAAAAAGGTTTTTAGATTTTTTTTGCAAATGTATTGAAATTAAAAACAGAAATATGACATTTACATAAGTATTCAGACCCTTTACCTAATACTTTGTTGATGCACCTTTGGCAGCAATTACAGCCTCAAGTCTTTTTGGGTATGACACTACAAGCTTGGCACACCTGTATTTGGGGAGTTTCTCCCATTCTTCACTGCAGAGTCTATCAAGCTCTGTCAGGTTGGCCGGCGCTTGGCATTGCGCATGGAGATCTTAGGCTTGTGTGCGGCTGCTCGGCCATGGAAACCCATTTCATGAAGCTCCCGACGAACAGTTCTTGTGCTTCCAGAGGCAGTTTGGAACTCGGTAGTGAGTGTTGCAACCGAGGACAGACCATTTTTACGCGCTTCAGCACTCGGCGTTCCCGTTCTGTGATCTTATGTGGCCTACCACTTCACGGTTGAGTAACTGACTTGTTGGAAAGGTGGTATCATTTTCATCATTTAGCAGACGCTCTTATCCAGAGCGACTTACAAAATGGTGCATTCACCTTATAGCCAGTGGGATAACCACTTTACAATATGTTATTTTTTTTTTGGGGGGGGGGGTAAGGGGGGGTAGAAGGATTACTTTATCCTATCCCAGGTATTCCTTAAAGAGGTGAGGTTTCAAGTGTCTCCGGAAGGTGGTGAGTGACTCCGCTGTCCTGGTGTCGTGAGGGAGCTTGTTCCACCATTGGGGTGCCAGAGCAGCAAACAGTTTTGACTGGGCTGAGCGGGAACTTGGGAAGGTTGAACACCAGACGGGCTGCGGCATTCTGGATGAGTTGTAGGGGTTTAATGGCACAGGCAGGGAGCCCAGCCAACAGCGAGTTGCAGTAATCCAGACGGGAGATGACAAGTGCCTGGATTAGGACCTGTGCCGCTTCCTGTGTAAGGCAGCGTAGTACTCTCCGAATGTTGTTTCCTATGTTGTATCCTATGACGGTGCCACGTTGAAAGTCACTGAGCTCTTCAGTACGGACCATTCTACTGCCAATGTTTGTCTATGGAGATTGCATGGCTGTGTGCTCAATTTTATACACCTGTCTGTTAGGCTATGGTTCAACCCAGCACTCAGAGAAACAAACACGACTAAGGGAGTGGAGGAAACAAAAATTATTTTAATAAAAGTTCAATTTGTCTTAGTCCAAAAACAACTGAAGAAAAGGAACAGAGTGGGCTAGTCGGCTCCGGAGGAAGGAGAGGCTGAGGCAGGCAGGCAGGCCGGCAGGCAGGAAGGCAGGTTGGGAGGTGTGTCTGAACTGAAGACAAAACAAACGACAGGTTAAGGAGAGTAAAGAGCCAGGCTGAAGACAAAGACAATTTAACTCTACTGGTGAGCCAAGTTACCGCTCTAGTAAGAACAACGATCTGGCGCCGGTGGAGAGCCATGCCCATGAATTAGTAGTGCAGGTTGATGAGAGAATAGGATGCAGCTGCGTAGGCAGGAATCACTGGAAACAACCCGCAGCTGCACAGGAGAGGCAGATCCTGAGCACGCCCCCCGATCCACTCCAGACACACCCACATAATGGGGACAAACACACATACAGATACAACAGACAAAGAGGGGACAAAACAAGGAAGAAGGGAAACAGAAAAGGGAGAGACAAGCTGCCCACATAACACTGTCAGCAACGGGTGTGGCTGAAATAGCCGAATCCACTAATTTGAAGGGGTGTCCACATACTTTTGACCATGTAGTGTAGCTACTAGGGCCGGGACGATACCAATATCGCAATATTCGTAAGTATCGTGGCAAGGAAACAAAACACGAAGCGAAGCAGATTAAACTTATTTAGGAAAACAGCCCTAATGTTGGAAACAAACATCATTATGTTGTCATCCAGAGTCACATTTAACTATTTTCCAAGCTATAGCACACAATATTTTACATACACCAGGTATTTAAAGGACCAAAGAGTTTGGTCTGCTTCGTATTTTCATTTTTGCCATGGAAAAAATATTGTAATACTGGTATCGTCCAAGCCCTAATAGCTGCAGTGCAGACATGACATACTATTCAACCCAAATAGTCTTTTCACATTTCAGGGTTGAGATAAAGGTCCAATGCAGCTGTTTTTTATCTCACTATCAAATCATTTCTGGAGAACAATTAAGTACCTTTCTGTGATTGTTTTAAATTAAAATGGTTAAAAACAAACAAAAATAGCTTCTTAGCAAAGAGCAATTTCTCAAGCAAGAATTTTGCTAGGACTGTCTAGGAGTGGGGAGGGGGAAACTAAAAACTAGCTGTTATATGCAGAGAGTTTTGGAACTACAGTGGGGGAAAAAAGTATTTAGTCAGCCACCAATTGTGCAAGTTCTCCCACTTAAAAAGATGAGAGAGGCCTGTAATTTTTCATCATAGGTACACGTCAACTATGACAGACAAAATGAGAAAAAAAAATCCTGAAAATCACATTGTAGGATTTTTTATTAATTTATTTGCAAATTATGGTGGAAAATAAGTATTTGGTCAATAACAAAAGTTTCTCAATACTTTGTTATATACCCTTTGTTGGCAATGACACAGGTCAAACGTTTTCTGTAAGTCTTCACAAGGTTTTCACACACTGTTGCTGGTATTTTGGCCCATTCCTCCATGCAGATCTCCTCTAGAGCAGTGATGTTTTGGGGCTGTCGCTGGGCAACACGGACTTTCAACTCCCTCCAAAGATTTTCTATGGGGTTGAGATCTGGAGACTGGCTAGGCCACTCCAGGACCTTGAAATGCTTCTTACGAAGCCACTCCTTCATTGCCCGGCCGGTGTGTTTGGGATCATTGTCATGCTGAAAGACCCAGCCACGTTTCATCTTCAATGCCCTTGCTGATGGAAGGAGGTTTTCACTCAAAATCTCACGATACATGGCCCCATTCATTCATTCATTAATTCCTTTACACGGATCAGTCGTCCTGGTCCCTTTGCAGAAAAACAGCCCCAAAGCATGATGTTTCCACCCCCATGCTTCACAGTAGGTATGGTGTTCTTTGGATGCAACTCAGCATTCTTTGTCCTCCAAACACGACGAGTTGAGTTTTTACCAAAAAGTTCTATTTTGGTTTCATCTGACCATATGACATTCTCCCAATCCTCTTCTGGATCATCCAAATGCACTCTAGCAAACTTCAGACGGGCCTGGACATGTACTGACTTAAGCAGGGGGACACGTCTGGCACTGCAGGATTTGAGTCCCTGGCGGCGTAGTGTGTTACTGATGGTAGGCTTTGTTACTTTGGTCCCAGCTCTCTGCAGGTCATTCACTAGGTCCCCCCGTGTGGTTCTGGGATTTTTGCTCACCGTTCTTGTGATGATTTTGACCCCACGGGGTGAGATCTTGCGTGGAGCCCCAGATCGAGGGAGATTATCAGTGGTCTAGTATGTCTTCCATTTCCTAATAATTGCTCCCACAGTTGATTTCTTCAAACCAAGCTGCTTACCTATTGCAGATTCAGTCATCCCAGCCTGGTGCAGGTCTACAATTTTGTTTCTGGTGTCCTTTGACAGCTCTTTGGTCTTGGCCATAGTGGAGTTTGCAGTGTGACTGTTTGAGGTTGTGGACAGGTGTCTTTTATACTGATAACAAGTTCAAACAGGTGCCATTAATACAGGTAACGAGTGGAGGACAGAGGAGCCTCTTAAAGAAGAAGTTACAGGTCTGTGAGAGCCAGAAATCTTGCTTGTTTGTAGGTGACCAAATACTTATTTTCCACCATAATTTGCAAATAAATTCATTAAAAATCCTACAATGTGATTTTCTGGAGAAAAAAAATCTCAATTTGTCTGTCATAGTTGACGTGTACCTATGATGAAAATTACAGGCCTCTCTCATCTTTTTAAGTGGGAGAACTTGCACAATTGGTGGCTGACTAAATAATTTTTTTCCCCACTGTAAATTCTCCACTTCATGAGTGAATTCAATAACTAAATTGGAATTTCAAATGAAATTGGAATTGACCCCAACCCTGTTACATTCCCTCTCAGAAAAGCAAACATGGGCGGAGGAGAATCAACGCCAGCACAGACACCCCCACCAATCCCACCAGAGAAGGGTAAGAGAGATACGACATATCGGTCAAATACAGTCAACCCCTGATAGTGAATATCAGGTGTGAGTGCAAATTCTGTTCAAGCACAGTGCATCAGTCCCAATTATTTTTACTTGTTCTGGGAATCTGCATTCACCGTTTTAGCGCATGCATTGACCACAGCCCCAAGGCATTACATATATAGTACATACCCTGTGTCATTGACTGTAGACTACTCTCATTAAATATGTGTCATTGTAATCAAAATCTTCAAATTATTTTGAAAGTAAGAGATTGGAATGTGGAAAACAATAATTAAGTTAAGTTAATCAAAATGTGTTCCATGTGTGTCACACAGAATTTGACCAACAATGGAGGAAAACATGTTGGAGGTAAGTACTGTACTGACAGACCAAATATGGAGGATGAAGGAGAAAGAGAGAGAAAGTCAAATGGACGTTTTGGTTATCATTACAATCACTATCAAGGGTTGTGTTGTGTGAATAGTGTGCTATGCTAAATTGCTGATATCAGTTTTCCCACCATCTTAAATCAGTTAAGTCCTGGTGTAATCTTGATGCAATTTCCCTGTACATAATTATAAGCAGTCCACGGCCACTATTTTGCATAGAATCTGTGCCACAAATGCTAAAAGGTTAGCATTTGGAAACAGTGGCCAGGTAAACAAAACAAGAAGTAACAGGTACTCTATATTGTCTCTGACAGTAAAAGAGAGAGAGACCAAATGGTGGATGACCTGAGGAGCTTTAAAGTGAGTGATCCTGACGTGGGTCAGCTCAGATGCCTGCTACATGGACCAGTCGGTTCTGGAAAGTCCAGCTTCATCAACTCAGTCAACAATGTCTTCCAAAATCGGACAACAGGTGGTGCCCTGGTAGCTGCTACCTCTGGCACAAGCTTCACCACGACAGTAAGCTGCAGTGCCTAATACATTTAACACAGACACAATGCAGGCATGGGATATGGCTCCCTAATATATCCTGGTACACTAAGACATACAGTATTTAATGAGCTACAAACAGGCAGAACAGAGACATGAAGAGGGACTTATAGAAACAAAGAGAGGTTGTTTGCGCTCTTTTAAATGCAAAACGTAGTCAATCACAGGGGCGTAGGTTTGAAAAAGTAGGATCATGGAAAGGATAGATACAAGCAGACTGTTGGAAACTTCTAAAATGGAGACTCAGATGCACAAATGTATATAATTTATATATTTTTATATCAAAAGGTGCATAATGAAAAGGATCAAGACAAATGAAAGCACACAAATCTGTCTATAAATAAAATATAAATGAGTTGATTACATCACATAATCAAGCCTAGATAAATGCAAAGGATGTAACTAAGAAATGGGTTCCTTGAGTGGCGCAGCGGTCTAAGGCACTTCATCGCAGTGCTAGGTGCGTCACTATAGACCAGGGTTTGACCCCGGCTGTATCACAACCGGCCGTGATCGGGAGTCCCATAGGGTGGCGCGCAATTGGCCCAGCGTCGTCCGGGTTAGTGGAGGGTTTGGCCGGGGTAGGCCGTCATCGTAAATAAGAATTTGTTCTTAACTGACTTGCCTACTAGTTCAATAAAATAAAATAAAAACTACACAGTAGAACACAAAGTAGAAATGTTAAATTATGTATTCTACTGCTTAGTTACATCCTTTGACTTAAAAACCGAAACGTTGGTCTTGCATTTCTACTTTATGCACCTTTTTGCACATTTCGGGGCAATGTGCCCTAAATAAATTATATATCTTCTGTATAACACCGCTACCTTGTCACAGCACAACTGGTTGGCTCAAACGCATTAAGAAGGAAAGAAATTCCACAAATTAACTTTTAACAAGGCACACCTGTTAACTGAAATACATTCCAGGTGACTACCTCATGAAGCTGGTTGAGAGAATGCCAAGAGTGTGCAAAGCTGTCATCAAGGCAAAGGGTGGCTACAAAATATAACATATATTTTGATTTGTTTAACACTTTCTTTTGGTTACTACATGATTCCATATGTCAAAATAAAGAAAAACCCTTGAATGAGTAGGTGTGTCAATTCAAATATAAATATAAAATAGACACACACACACAACATTTACACTAGGAACAGCTTTCTACTATTGTGTTGCACCCCCTTTTGTCCTCAAAACAGCCTTCATTCATCGGTGTATGGACTCTACAAGGTGTCGAAAGCGTTCCACAGGGATGCTGGCCCATGTTGACTCCAATACTGGATGTTGGCTGGATGTCCTTTGGGTGGTGGACCATTCTTGATATACACGGGAAACTGTTGAGCGTGAAAAACCCAGCAGCGTTGCAGTTCATTACACAAACCGGTGCGCCTGGCACCTACTACCATACCCCGTTCAAAGGCACTTAAATCTTTTGTTTTGCCCATTCACCCTCTGAATGGCACACATACACAATCCATGTCTCAATTGTCTCAAGGCTTGAAAATGATTCTTTAACCTGTCTCCTCCCCTTCATCTACACTGATTGAAGTAGATTTAACAAGTGACATCAATAAAGGATCATAGCTTTCACCTGTCATGGAAAAATCAGGTGTTCCTAATGTTCTGTACGCTCGGTGTATATATTTGTTGACTCTGAGCCTCAGTTTGGGATCTTTTTCATGTTTCCGAGTGTGAGGGTATCTATCCTTTCCATAGAAAAAAAACGATAAATGTTATTAAATAAACCATTTATTTTCAGTATGACACACACTACATTCAAGGCCGTTCAGGAGAAAAACGTCTTCCCTTTGCATTCAATGATGTCATGGGTCTGGAAACACAAAAAAATGGGATGCACCCTGATGACATCATCAATGCTCTGAAGGGCCATCTACCAGAGGGCTATGAGGTAATTCAGAAGTCACACACACACACAGACACACACACACACACACACACACACACACACACACACACACACACACACTAACAAATCTTATCTTTTCTTGGCCAGTTCAACCCTTTCCACCCATTAACGGACAAAAAAAAAGAATTCATTCAAAATCCCAGCTTTAGTGACAAAGCTCACTGCCTGGTGAGTATTGTGACAGCCGACAAAATCTCTCTCATGTCAAAGGATGTCATAGACAAGATGAAGAACATCAGGGCAGAAGCCAGTAGAATGAGTAAGTAAGATCTTTAAACTCTCTACGTTTCTCAATGGTAACTGCAACTATGGCTGGGTATCAATTGACACCTTTCAGCTGCAGCTCTTGACTTTTCACTATTACATGATACAGTGTTACTTACAGTGCATTCGGAAAGTATTCAGACCCCTTGACTCTCTCCACATTTTGTTATGTTTCTGCCTTATTCTAAAATGGATGAAATTGTTTTCCCCCCTCAATAACCCATAATGACAAAGCAAAAACAGGTATTTATAAATCTTGGCAAATGTATTAATATAAAAAATGGAAATATCACATTTACATAATTATTCAGACCCTTTACTCAGTACTTTGTTGAAGCACCTTTGGCAGCGATTACAGCCTCGAATCTTCTTGGGTATGACGCCACAAGCTTGGCACACATATATTTGGGGAGTTTCTCCCATTCTTCTCTGCAGATCCTCTCAAGCGCTGTAAGGTTGGATGGGGAGTGTTGCTGCACAGCTATTTTCAGGTCTCTCCAAAGATGTTCGATCGGGTTCAAGTCTGGGCTCTGGCTGGGCCACTCAAGGACATTCAGAGACTTGTCCCGAAGCCACTCCTGCATTGTCTTGGCTGTGGGCTTAGGGTCGTTGTCCTGTTGGAAGGTGAACCTTCGCCCCAGTCTGAGGTCCTGGAACATGTTTTCATCAAGGATCTCTCTGTACTTTGCTCTGTTCATCTTTCCCTCGATCCTGACTAGTCTCCCAGTCCCTGCCGCTGAAAAACATCCCCACAGCATGATGCTGCCACCACCATGCTTCACCGTAGGGATGGTGCCAGGTTTCCTCCAGATGTGATGCTTGGTATTCAGGCCAAAGAGTTCAATCTTGGTTTCATCAGACCCGAGAATCTTGTTTCTCATGGTCTGAGGGTCTTTAGGTGCCTTTTGGCAAACTCCAAGCGGGCTGTCATCTGCCTGAGGACTGGCTTCCGTCTGGCCACTCTACCATAAAGGCCTGATTGGTGGCGTGCTGCACAGATGGTTGTCCTTCTGGAAGGTTCTCCCACCTACACAGAGGAACTCTAGAGCTCGGTCAGAGAGACCATCGGGTTCTTGGTCACCTGCCTGACCAAGGCCCTTCTCTCCCGATTGCTGAGTTTGGCCAGGCGGCCAGCTCTAGGAAGTGTCTTGGTGGTTCCAAACTTCTTTCATTTAAGAATGATAGAGGCCACTGTGTTCTTGTGGACCTTCAATGCTGCAGAAATGTTTTGGTAACCTTCCCCAGATCTGTGCCTCGACACAATCCTGTCTCTGAGCTCTACGGACAATTCCTTTGACCTCATGGCTTGGTTTTTGCTCTGACATGCACTGTCAACTGTGAGACCTTATATAGACAGGTGTGTGCCTTTCCAAATCATGTCCAATTAATTGAATTTACCACAGGTGGACTCCAATCAAGTTGTAGAAACATCTCAAGGATGATCAATGGAAACAGGATGCACCTGAGCTCAATTTCGAGTCTCATAGCAAAGGGTCTGAATACTTATGTAAATAAGGTATTTATTTTAGTTTTACATTAGTTTTACAATTTTTAAATATTTAATCCATTTTAGAATAAGGCTGTAACGCAACAAAATGTGGAAAAAGTCAAGGGGTCTGAATACTTTCCGAAGGCACTATATGTTAGTCCTTCTATTCATTAAATATTCACTTCTACGGCAGAAATCCCTCAAGTTGTTGTCATGACCATGCCAGACAAGGCTTGTGAACTGGTGAACAGAGATGTGAAGAGAATCTACTACAGCAAGACGATCAAAGAGAAGGTGAATCACATGACCTCAGACCTGATCAAATTTCACATTGGCTGCGTTCTATGCTGACTACATTACAGACGCATGCCAAATCTCACATTGCCTGGACAAGTGTTTAACATGTCAGCTAACCATAAAATATGATGAGGCAATCTGATGCCCAACTGCACAGTTGATGATGTGGCACGCAACCATTGGTTAATGCAATGCAATATCTGCAATGTAGTCAGCCATTAAATCTTGGTTGTGCTGAAATGATCCAATGATCATCACTCAAGCATCCAGCCCTTTTTGTCTCCAACGTTTTTCAGATGGAGATCTGCAGTAATGAGCTAGGCGTTCCCATGAACTGCATCCTGCCGGTGAAGAACTACCACGAGGAGGGGATGCTGGATGACGACATGGATATCCTGATACTCAACGCCATGACTCAGATTATGAACTTTGCCAACGACTACCTCTGGAACCTCCAACAACATGCAATTCATTAAGAGATTAGTGAGCACTGCAGTTTAAGATTGGAATCAAGTTCCTAATTTCTATATTGTTGACATTGTAGTCGTATTATTTCACTTCCATGTAGAGGCCTAAATATGTTATCTGAGGCTCTGGTAGAACTATGCATCTCTGACTGAGTATGCATCTCTGCGTGACAAGAACATCTTTAAAATAAACTGAGCATTGCTGTGCATATATGCTACTTTTTAACATTAACACCCAACAGTGTACAATTGTGTTAGATAAACTAGCATCCTTCACCTGAATTCTTTAGATGACAAACTGATTTTAAACCATAATTTGTTTTACTGATATTGCTGTAACATTCATTTGATGTGACATTATTGTTGTATCTTTTTTTTTAGCTTTTCTGCTTAAGTTGACTTAATTTCTTCTTAATTTCCAGGTAAATTTAAGTTAAATAAATAATACAAAATAATGGCTATTGATGACATATCTTTCTCTCTATAACCAGGTTTCCATCCAACCATTTCATTGGGATGAATTACCTGACGCATAAAGAAACTCACGACAGGCCTGATGGAAACTGCAAATTTGTCTGTAGAATTTCAAAATGTAGACAAAACAAAATACACTACACAAGGGTGGATCATTTTTGGGGTCTGTGAAATAGATTATGCAACAATTGTGGTGGAAACACATTTAAGTGCAAATATTGATATAATAACCATCATTTCGAAGTAAACTTGGAGTCACGCAATGATTATGTTATGTTGTACAACCACCACCACGTGGAAAAGCATGCAGAGTATATAGGCAGATTACATACCGTTAATTATGATGAACTTCATAACTTATTTCATAACTTCATAACTTATGGTAGTTAACCTGTTGAATGTTTAGTGAAGTGGATGGCTGTATAAAACATATCTTCATGAGAGGGCCATGAACAGTACCTAGTAATGCCTTATACTGTTAGAAAGCTCTGTTTGTTGCTTTTGGGGGGGTATTTATTATTTGTATTAACTTTTTGCATTAGTCTTTCTGGCAGATGGACACCTACTTGGCGTATTGCTGCCACTGCTGGTTGGAGTGCACACTGCACTCTCAACCCAAAGTAAAGATTGTGACCAAAACTAACCAGTAACCTTACATAAAAGTAACAAGATTCCTGTCCCATCAGAACATGCAAGAGTATTCTAGCGAATACATTTTAAAATGCAATTTAAATAACGTTTGAATTTGATTTGACATTGCACTTTTAATTGGTCAAATATTTTTTGAGAGAAATAGACCTTTGCAGTAAAAACTATAACATGCACAAAGAGGTCAGTCCTCCCAATACATGTCACATTTTTATCATTCAGTGACGTGGGTCGATCAGGATCCAGACTGTGACAGTAGCCTAGTAACATAATTTAAAGGTCCAATGCAGACGTTTTTATCTCAATATAAAATAATTTCTGGGTAACAATTACAGTGAGGGAAAAAAATTTGTCTGTCATAGTTGACGTGTACCTATGATGAAAATTACAGGCCTCTCATCTTTTTAAGTGGGAGAACTTGCACAATTGGTGGCTGACTAAATACTTTTTTTCCCCCACTGTTCCGTTTATACCGAAGGTATGACTTTCAATCCTGTTCTTTGGGGTGGGGTGGTTGGTGGCACCCCCGCATCGGGGGGGAGGGGGGGGGGGGGGGGTTCTACGCCAATGCTAATAACTATAAGTTAAGGATAACTATAAGAAATCTTAATATGTGTCAAATAAATGATATCCAGCTATGCATTTCACTTGCTACATACAGTGAGGGAAAAAGGTATTTGATCCCCTGCTGATTTTGTATGTTTGCCCACTGACAAAGACATGATCAGTCTATAATTTTAATGGTAGGTTTATTTGAACAGTGAGAGACAGAATAACAACAAACATTTTATAAATTGATTTGCATTTTAATGAGGGAAATAAGTATTTGACCCCTCTGCAAAACATGACTTAGTACTTGGTGGCAAAACCCTTGTTGGCAGTCACAGAGGTCAGACGTTTATTGTAGTTGGCCACCAGGTTTGCACACATCTCAGGAGGGATTTTGTTCCACTCCTCTTTGCAGATCTTCTCCAGGTCATTAAGGTTTCGAGGCTGATGTTTGGCAACTCGAACCTTCAGCTCCCTCCACAGATTTTCTATGGGATTAAGATCTGGAGACTGGCTAGGCCACTCCAGGACCTTAATATGCCTCTTCTTGAGCCACTCCTTTGTTGCCTTGGCCGTGTGTTTTGGGTCATTGTCTGGAATACCTGGAATACCCATCCACAACCCATTTTCAATGCCCTGGCCCAATGCCCTACTTATTTCCCTCATTAAAATGCAAATCAATTTATAACATTTTTGACATGCGTTTTTCTGGATTTTTTTGTTGTTATTCTGTCTCTCACTCTTCAAATAAACCTACCATTAAAATTATAGACTGATCATGTCTTTGTCAGTGGGCAAACGTACAAAATCAGCAGGAGATCAAATACTTTTTTCCCTCACTGTAAGTACCTTACTGTCATTGTTTTCAATTTAAACAGAAATAGCTTCTTAGCAGAGAGCAATTTCTCAATGAAGAATTTAGCTAGGACTATATGGGAGTGTTCTGAGTGGGGAGAGGAAAACTGAAAACTAGCTGTTATTGGCAGAGATGTTTGGAACTCTCTTTCTCATTGGTCTATTAACTAATTTACCGCCTGGTTATGTCACCAGGCAGGCCAAAACTCCATCCCACCAAAACAAGCAGTCTTTTCAAACAGCTCTTACACTAAAAGTTATTATCATAATTTTCACAATTTCACAGTATTATTTCAACCTCATAGTGTGGAAATGTATATAAAACACAGGACAACCATGCTTTTGATTGCACTGATCCTTTAACATATTTGACTAAAGCTGTTAATAATAAGTCAAATGTGTACTATTTAATTGAACAAAATCCGTTTTTTATCTCACAGTAATGTCAATTGCAGTTGGTAGACTATTTTTCCATGTTCAAGATCACCAAAGCGAAATAAAATTCAAGACATGACAAGATCGTATGAATAGACACCAATAACTTTATAGTCTATTATTCGAATTGAGATTTGCAAATGACAGACAGACAATTTGCCACTGACAGACAGGTGGGCCTACCATGCATTCAACCAGATGCAGAGTTAACACCAGGCATACACATTTGTTCTCTTATGATGTGCTTGTGGGTCCAGCACATCAAAACACACATTTCTCATGTCATGTAAATTGGTTCCAGAAACAGCCGAATCAATATCACTTCAAGCCCCCTATTGAGGTTTAGGGCAAGGTGTTGGAATCTGTATCAGAGGCCCAGTTTAATCCAGTTCAGAAAATTATGAAGTGCTGTGCATATTGCCGGTATAAAGTGCAGTTTGCAAGGACTACAGACAGTAAGTGTGGTAGTAGGGCTACCAGTGTCAAGCAGCGCTACTTTTCAGGCATTAGGCTACATGGAGGTGAAACTATGAGAAAAATCGAATTTGAGAGCAATATTTCTTAAATTGTAGTGATAAATAACGCCTGATTAATCATAACTGTTTGTGTATATTTTATAAAGAGTATCATACTTTTTATATGTTTTATTACCCGTATTTTATATCAAACTTTGCATTGTACTGTGAAACTGCTTGAGGTGTTCAAATTCCCTTTTGAAAACAGGCCTTTCTAACTTAGCTTTGAGGCCTTTGTGTTTTATGTTCTTTGATTCATCTCTTTTATTGCCTTGTTTGTTTTTGAATTATATTGGTTTTAAGTGTGTTGCTATTTTAATTGCAATGAGGCCCTTTATCTACTTCCCCAGAGTCATATGAATTTGTGATAACCATAGACTTCCAGTCATTATGCTAATGCTAGTTAGCATTGAATCATGAAACGACCTCATACTTCCTTCATACTGGACACAGAGACATAAAAATGGTATCCACAAGTTCATCTGAATCTTGGGAAGTAGATAAATGGCCTCATTTCCAAAATCACAAAGTATCCCTTTAACTTTATAGTCTATCATTCTTATTAAGAGTTTTTTTTAAATGTATAAACTAATCCCAAAGAAGGTTTGTAGCAGCTAGATTGACTGCTGAACTGAACTGGGGGTTGAGAATGATGACAACAGACAAGGTGTTAAGAGCTATTAGCATGTGCAAAAATCCATGTCCTTACAGAGCAGATTGATCAAGACTGGTCAAACTATGTTTTTATCATGACTTCTCAATACTGAGCTTCTACTTGTTACACCCTAAAGACGATGTCCGCGCCCGCGTGAAAATCTAATTAGCGTCATTAAAAAATCCCCATCAAAATCTCTGTTTAAGCTAGAGATATCTGTTTTTTTTGTATGGGCAGCGTCCCAATCCTCGGCATCCGCCAATGTTGGCCTTCCGCATCTGCGGTGGACGGTGGCAGCGCTACAGGGTTCTGACTAGAGGGAGTACAGCTACGACCGGAAGTTACTTTTTCATAGCAGGTTAGGAGAACTTTAGCAGCAGGTTAGGATAATTAACGTGGCTGGTTAGGAGACTTAGGTTAAGGTTAGGAAAAGGGTTAGCTAAAATGCTCTCCTAACCTGCTACGAAAAGTCACTTCCGGTTGTAGCTGTACTCCCTCTAGTCACAACCGAGCTACAGCGGTGTTTGTCAGACCAGGAGACTTCACCAAAATCGGTCTTCTTACTTGCATTGATTGACATATCCCTTGCGATTATGGATGGAGTGGCCATAAAATGAAAAAGGCCATGAAATTCGGAAATACACAGAGAGGAAGAGCTGAAGTGAGAGGGTCCACAAAATCTGTCCACAAAAATAAGACCACAAAAGCTAGGTTTCCATCCAATTGGCGACAGATTTTCATGTGAATATTCTAGAATGCGCATAAACAAAAAATATGCACATTTTCCCACCAGTGGTATTTCCAACAAATGGACTTGTTGCAGATAGAAATGCATGATGACTTAGTGCACACAACATTTTATTTTTCTCTTAAGTTTTCATGTACCGAATAAAAATCTAAAGTTCAATATGTTTCCATCGCATTTTCAAATCTACTGATAGTTTTGTCACAAAAACTGTTGCTTTAAATAGCAAATGTGCCTACTCTGGTCTTGGCACGTCCGCTCTAGCCAACAGCTTGCAGATACAGTGCGGGTAGACTAGTCTACATGATGAGATTATTATTTTTATTTGTCAAACGGCAGTCAAGCATCGATGTCACCAAAATAAGACCCTCAATATTATTGGAAAAGAGCATCAAGATCACTGTGCACTTTCACCACCCTGTGAAGTTCATCATAACTTACACTGAGTGTACAAAACATTAAGAACACCTGTTCTTTCCATGACGGACTGACCAGGTGAATCCATGTGAAAGCTATGACCTCTTATTGATGTCACATGTTAAATCA